AAGTACATATATTGTAGATGTATCTTGTTTCTTCCACTTTTCACTTTTCAATTAGAACATAATGAACAATCCTTTTCTTCTCCCTCATTTTGACGCAAAATGTGCAATTTGCTATTTAATCTTCTTTGTCTGATATTGATGGTCTATCATTTTGGATCTCTATCGTAATTTACTATCAATCTATCTACTAGTTCCCAAACTTTAAATGCATCATCGATCGTTTATTTTGGCAATATTGAGTTATTTTATATAGTAAATATGCATTTACACAAGATAATTCAAGTCTCCAAAAAAATAATTTCCGCCATCATTTCAATGATTTTCTTAGATTTTCTTAGAATAATGTCGCAGAATAGGAATCAGCTTGTTCTATATCTTCCATATATATTTTTTTATTATTGTAATTACAATTACAATTGGCTTATTTATTACTTGGATATTTCCTCCATATATTCTTCTATTTATTAATCGTACCTGAAACCTCCCAAGTGCTAAGTATAATGACGAGTCGTTCCTTTCCACACCAACAATAACAAATTTTCTGATCTGCAGATAAATATATCGTTTTCAGCAAACTTAGATTTTCTTATTGAATCGGGTATAAATTTTCTATTATTTTGTAGTTCCTGTTAAGTATATATTTAACTTTAATAATTTTTATGCAAGTAATATCTTGTGTAATATCTATCTGTATAAATATGGTATCCTTTATTGCCAGGATTACTATTTAATAAGTTTTTGCACAATTGTACTACGATTCTTGTAAGAGAAGATCAAGTCGTGCCAAATTTTCTGAAGTTAAACTTCTATAATAGGGAAAAATTAAATATACATATTTTATATTGCCATCTGCCAGTATATATATTCTTATTCCCTAGTTGGTAGATTTATTTATTATTGAATTATTTTATTATTGAATTATATGTTAGGAAAATTATCCTTTGCAATCGTCTGTCACCATATAGTCGTTATCCTACATTTTATTATTATACATATATTTACATGTATATATGTAATATAATATATGTATAAATATATGTATTTATGTATTATTAAATATATGTATAAATATATGTATTTACATTAGTAAATATATATATATAATATAATTACATTCTATATGTATAATATAATTACATATAATTACGTTTTAGAAGACTCTTGTTACTTGATTAGTAACTTTCTTAAATATAAATATGAGTGTAAAAGGTTAAAATCTTATTTTTCTTGAAAAGGCCCCCATGGAAGCATATCACGCAAATATGGCGATGAACGTATTAAAACTGTATACATTAGACAGATTTTGGTTAATCTAATTAATTAAAATCATATAAATGATATTAACCGAAATGAAAGAATTTTTGTTATTTAATTAAAAATTTTCAGATATATGACTTTTATTAATTTTATTGTTAAAAATATTGCACAGCTTATTTTAAAAAATAAAAAACTAGACAAAAATAAATAACTAATGAAAGTTAAGTGGAAATACGTAGCTAAGAAAATAGTGAATTTTTACAGCAAATTCCTTTTAGAAAATTATCAATCATATATAGTTAAAAAATTGAATCATTTGATTAAAACTAAATCGAAAGGAAAATGTTCCAAAAATTTTGGATATTTACTATATTATATATATATATTATGTTCGAAATTATAATTTGAAATATAAATTATAATTTTTTTTTAAATAAGAAAATAAGAAATTATTTATTTAAAGTTTCTTATAAGATAAATGCAAAATTATTGTATGTAAATGTTATCTATTTTATTTTTTATCTATCTTATTTATTATTTTTATAATATTTTGTCAATATTTTTCAAGAAATATTTAAATTATTTATTGATAAAATTATTATCTATGATAAATCTATATTATTATATTTTTTTAAATTTTAATTCACAATTTCATAAAAATTTAAAATCAAATTAAAATCGTGCTAAAATTGTTCGATAATTGACAGTAAAATGTTTTATAATATATTTATGTCAAAAAAAGAGCTATACTTATTTATCTTAAAAAAGACTTCTTACTTTTTATATAATTTCAAGCAAAAAAATTTGTTCTTTTTTATTATAATTATTAAATTATCGTACTATATATATATATTTAAAATATTTTTAAATTTTATCAAAAATCATATAAAAATTTAAAGTTCTCTTATTCATTGAGAAATAAAAAATATAAAATAAAATGTATTCAATGAATAAGCGAGAAGAAACAAACATCAATGCAGATTTTAATAATTGATTCTCAATTAAAACTTGAATAATAAATTTATAATAATAATCGATTGATTATATAGAATAGAAATTTAAAACAAGTCATTTGAATAACTCGCTAGATATAGTTTTTTGATGATAAAAAAAAAGTAGATTGAATAAATCAAAGTTGCAGTTTTGAAAGATAAGAGAGAATCTAATATCACTATCTTTATAAGAAGCATGAAGAAGATATAAAGATCAATTCTGTTTGATATAGATTTTTATGTATATGCACATAAAATAGTTTCAAGACAAATAAAATATGAAAATTATTTAAAATTAATTAAAAATTAAAACAAAAAATAATATTGCTTAAAGATACTTTTTTAATATTTTGATAGTTTAAATATGTAAATATGAAATATATAAATATTCATTAATATATGTCCACAACTAATAAAAATATTCAAACTAGTGATGTGTAGTAATTTAAAACGTTGTGGATAATATTATATGGATAATACTCTATGACAAATTTTATTCAGAAGTATTATAGAACAATCTTTTTTTATAAAAATTATTTAGAAATAAGAGATATTAAATTTGAAGAACATTTATTATTTCTCAATCCGGCGATCGAATGTTAAAATTATCTATATTTTATAACTTTTATATTAGCGATTAGAAAAACAATATATCAATAACAAAAAGAAAACATAAATGTATTCAAAGAATACTTTAAAAAAATTTTTATTTTAATTGATTTAAAGTGACCTTGAATGATTTTCATATATTTGTCTTAAATTATCAGATAATAAATAAAAAATCTATTAAAAAATATATTTTTCAAAAACAAGATTACTAAAAGCAAGTTAGTTCACCTATCTGTTTTACTTTCCATTATTATAGAATGGTGATTTTTGTTTGTAATACGATATTTGTTTTGATTTAACGATCGGTTTATAAACTAGAGGTAAAAAGGAATATATATTTTGTCGAACAGTGAATTATTATAAGAGTTTATATCCAACTATTTTAATTAAAGCAACTAGTACTTAAATAAACTTGATAATTAATCGTTAATGATCAGCCTGGTCTTAGCTAATACAAATCACTAATTTATAATCTAATAATAAGTCTACTTGTGTAATAATCCATTATTCTTAATAGAATCCACTTTGTTTTTCCGTCTATTAATAAATGTTGTTTTCAATCAATCGTTGTCATCCAATTATACGATCCAGAATTCTTTCCTTAAATTATGATTCTTGCGAGATTAATTTTATCTTAGACACAAAGAAGAAATAAAAAGAAAGAAAACACAAAAGAAAATCAATCATCATATTTGAATTACATAATGACGTTTATAATAATTTCTAAATAATGAATTTTTTTTATTTTTTTCTAATCTAATCTATATTTGAACGGATTTTTTTTATATAAATGATAGATTTGGATTGTTCGCAAAATTCATGGAGAAATTTAATTCCAAATTTTTTTTTATATTCTAATAATTTTAGAATTAGTAAATATAACATTTTGTTAAGTTTGTTAATTTTTAATCTTTCGTAAAAATATTACAGTATCTTGGAATCTATTTTATTTAATTTTTTCACGATTTTAAACTTTTAAATTAATTAATATTTTGAAAGAAATTTTAGATTACTTACATAAATATGTTTATTTCATTATCCTATAAATTTTCGAACTCGTTCAAAAGTAAAATTTGTTAAAATAGACAAGAATAAATGTTAATTATATATTAATGGAAAAGCAATCATAATAATTATCTTTGAAATATAATTATTGTTTAAATTTCATTATAAATTATTGATAGATTATGTTGGAATAAACATAAAAAAACGTTTGTTTGATTATTAATGAAACCATAATCACAATGCAATTAGGATTATATATAGATTTGGAAATTATTGCATTTTTGTAAGAATGATAATTGAATGATATTTGAATGATTTTCTATAAGTTAATACGAAAATTATTGGATTAACAGAGAGAACTATGAAGGAATATATTAGTTTTTATTTGCTTAAGTTATTGTTAATTTATTGTTTCTCGCTTTTAGTAATCTACAAGAAATGCTCCTTTTGATTATTTACATAATGCTAAGAAAATTAAACTAGTAAGAATCACGAAAATTTTATTTTAGTGATTAGAAAGTTTATTTTGTTATTTGAACTTTATTTAATTATTTTAGATATATAATCGTAATATCTAATTTTAATATTATCTTATATATACTATAAATAATATTACATTCAATTGAAAACAACCTTCGAACCTTTATTTTTACTAATAAATTTTTTTTTAATATATTAAGAGAAAAAAATGAAATTTAGCTAAAAAATTATTTAATACTAATATCGAAACAATTTTTTTTCATATTGATCAGATAGATATTTATATAGATAATTAAATAAAGTTAATATAAAATTATACATAAAAATAGTAAGTATTATAAAATTATCAAGTATTGCTAAATTAATTGAAAAATAATTAATTACATTTAATAATTTTATTTTTTTAATCTAATTTTATAAAATTCTATACTAATAAAATTCTTACTAATGAGTAAGAACTAATGGATAACGCGTAAAAAGAGAAATAATAATCGAGAAAAATATAATACTGTTCTTTTTATATAGAACTCTACAGAATCACAACAAAGTTTATGATACTACTACTCATGATTTTAAAACTTTATTTATTTTCTCGTATTAACTTATACTTATTATACAAACCTTTGGTTAAACTACTTATTAATTAAATTGTTTCAGGACGTGGAGCATCCCGCGTGACCGCGGCTCTGGTAGGAGATGGCGAAGGCAGGTTGATCACCACCCCGATCCATAAGGAGAGCATAGCGTCGAGGAGCAAGGAGGATCTAGCCCAGGAGGCGGCGCTGGTGCTTCAACAAGCGGGCAGCCTTCATTGCGTCGCTCACGACAACAGACGATTGCCAGGTCGTTTCAGCACATTGCCGGTGCGTCGTAACAAAAAAAGGCCGGAACTGCCGCTCGATGTGAGACGAAAAAGCGAAGAAATAACCGCGAGCAATACTGATCTTATCGACATACCGAGGATAAAGAAGAAAGCATTAGAGAGAAGTATCAGCGATGCAAACACGAAAAAACTGAGAAGTCCGTTGGCCAAGTTCTTCTCCCCGAAGTTAGAAAGGAAGCACAAGCCGGTGAGTCGTAGCGTGAGTGACGCGGCCAACTCGTTACGATCCCATCGCAAGAGGAGCGGCAGCGAGAGCGAAGGGTCGCATTTAGAGAGTAATCGAGTGAAGAAGCAACTATCCCCTATTATCGAAGCGTCGCCTCACGTTGATCAACAACCTTTTCATTTTGGTTTGAAGATCGAAAACGGTGAGAATAGGCCGGAACCAAAGAAGTGGAAACAAGAGGAAATCACCGATGCCGGAAAGGTGACGGAACATACAGAAACGGTGACATCGAGAGAAAAGATCGAAGAGAATATCGGGAAGCCACCGATATCGTCGAAGAAAGAGAACAAGGGAATCGTAAGACATATACCCATCCAGTTGGAGGTGGACGATAAGAAAAGGAACGAGGAGGAGAGGGAGCGAAAGGAAGAAGAAAAGACAGCTGGCCCGATCCCTTTGTCAATCATAAAAAACACTGGATTCGACGAAGTAGACAAAATCGATACGAGTAGCATGCTGCACAGCAGCCGATACGATCTCCAACAACGATCTACCGAAGAGTCAACGATACATAAGATGATTCATCGATTATCCAGCGATCGGTCACCGCCACCGCAATTGACCAAAACAATGGTCTCGTCTGGCCCAGGATTCGGTCATAACAACAATCGGCCATTCTCTTACACTAGACCGAACGAATGTTGCGGCACGCCGTCCCCGCGTGAAACTAATGTGATTTACGCTCAAGTGCAGACCGACAAGAAAAAGGCGCAAAGAAGTCATTCGGATAGCGACGAGGGGCTTGGCCTAGAAGAAAAGATTCGTCGCGTGAAACTAGTCCAGCCGAGAAGGAATATCGTAGAATGGATTTCCCTTATAACAATGAACTGCGGCGCAACAACGAAATCAACACGTTCAAATCTAGATACGAAGAGGATAGAAAGAACGACGATACCCGTTTCACCAATCGTTACGTTGGAACGGAAGATTACGCGAGCAGAAACGTGGACACGAAACGGCGCCACGAATTAAACGACATGGACAGACGTCTATACGACAAACCTGAAAAGTATACATCTACGATATTCGTAGATACCTCTGGTCGTGGTAGGGCAGACGGTACGGACGCTAGACAGCAACGAGATAACAACGAATTTTCTGCCAGACAGGTGCCGAGCGGAATATCAAACAAGACGTCCGAATTAAGCGCGAGACGTGATCTTCTTGAATCTAGAATCAAGTCGAGACTGCTCGCGGACGAGATGTTCGCCGCGAAGAACAGCACACCGAAGAAATCCGAGCACGAGATTATCGACAAACCGATCGTTCCATCACCGATCACTCCTAATCGCGTTGCCTCGCCTAAACGTTACATGGATACGTACATCACGGAGACACGCACCAACAGCAATGGAGAGAAGTATATTTTTGAAAAGGAGATCCACGAAGACAACGGTAAAGTGTACGGATACGAGAAAAAGATCACGAATAAAATTCCATCGGATGGATACATCGATACGAAACCGCGAGATGGGTATACAGTCGAAACGAGAACGGATAAATATGGGGACAGGTATATCGTTGAGACGCGAATGCACGAGGGTTATGCGAACGATTTCAAGCCAAACTTTCTTAGTGACAGGAATAGAGCCAGTCCGGAAGATCGGTACCAACCATCTAGAAATTTAATCAGTCCCTACAAGTCGTCTAATCATCTGCTGCCCGAAGAGACCACCGTTACTCATCACTTTCGAACCGAATCCAGAGAGAACAATTTTCTTTCTTCGCCCATAATCGCAAAGAAATTCACCACGACGGAAAGAAAATTCTCCAAAAGCGATGATTTTTTGGATAGAGATGCTCGACCGAGGGACGAGTACCTCCCTAAGAAGAAGAATTTCGAGTTGATCCGTGGTATGAGCAAATCCACGCAACGTTTGGACGAAGTAGGTGAGAATTCGCGAATCAAAGCTCTAAAAAGTGAGTACACGACTAGGTCGCACGAGAACTTAACCAGCCACGCAGATTACATAAACACCAGAGATGTGCGTCGACCTCTTTTAGATAGTCCCACTGTGAACAGACGGAGGGAACAATCACCGTTTACGAAAAGACACTTGGACAGCTTACGCGAGGGACCGAACGACGATTACGATACCGACATATCTCAGATGACTAGTAGCCAGCTAGAATCAAAATACTACAAAGAGACGCGCACCACTCAACGATATACGAATAGCAAGCACCCGATTCACGATGATTACGACAGTTCTCCGTCTAGGATACGCACCGATCGCGGAGGTTACAATTCGAGCAGATACGATTCCGACACTACGGCCAGAGATTCGATCCGTTGCGAAACTCGATACGACGAAACCTCACGAACGTTGAGAAAGGAACATCGAAAATTGGACGAGGATTCGAAGAAACCTTCACGGAGATCCCGCGATCAATTGGATTATTTCGACGATTCGGACGCCAGAGAAAGTCTACACGTGAAGACGACTATTGGACGATTAGAGCCATTCGACGAAAGTCCGACAAGACCTCCGAGAACTTATCACGATAATGGCAAGTCGAAACACACGAAGCAAGACATCAGAACGCATACTGAACGAAGACATCGCGAGACTCGGCTCAATGACTCTGATCGGAAGGATCGTTTGGCCGATTCCGGGATCGAAAATGACTACAGGCGCGACTCGCAAGAAGTCGATCGAAGGGAACAAATCGAATCGGAGGACGAGGGTTTTGTTACGAGGCAATTCATCAAATACGAGAAACGGCACACTGATCGTAGCATGAATTTAACACCTCCCGAGCAACGAAAATACGATAAATATTCGAACGATATGTTAAAATCACCGCCGGTCACCACGAAACCACCGTCAGGCGCAGATAAGAAATACGAGAAAAAGGCAGCAAAGAAGAGCGGTACGATGAGCAAGGTAAAGCAGCTGTTAGTAAGAAGGAGAAAAAAGCAAAGGAAGAGAAGAACAAGAAGAATGCAAGAAGCAGCAGCAGTGGAGCCCTTACGGACGACGAAGTGACGATCAGATACAAAGAATATCGAGGTGATCAACTGAGAAGCGCGAAAAGTACGCGAGACTTGGGCAGTGATATCAATCAGGTAGGAAAATTTTTTAATTTTAATATTTCTATCATAATTGGATTTAAATTTTTACGAAAGTATCGTAATCATCAAAGATAGAGAAATCATTAAAGATATTTGAAAATAAAATTTCAGATTTTTTGAGATCTTTAGAAATCAGAAACGCCTATATTTAATTGGGATCTCGTTTACATCACATCTAATTATACACGTATTCTAAAAAATATCCGTATTAATAGTTATTATTTAAAAGGCTTAAGTTTCCGTCATGTTATAGAAATATTTTCTGATGTTATTCATCGTTGAATTTTATAGAAATAATTACAATGATGAATTTTCTCGAATAATTCGAAAATATATCTTGGATAATGATAGGATCGATATGTATTTATAAAATTCAAATGAAAAAAGTTTATTTCATAGGATATAAATGTACTTGTATTTATAAACATTTTGATATTTGTTTGAATAGTTTAAATCTTTCAAAACTAATAATTGAAACTAATAATTCGGAATTTCGCTAGAATTGCATGAAAGTTATAAACTAAATAGAAAGCTATTGACGATAATTTGTTACTATTGTATTCTAGCTGTTACAATTATATTAATGTTATATGATTAAAAAATTTATTAAAAAATTATATAAATATTTATACTTCCTATTATACATATAATGAAATCTATATTTCTGATAGAAAGATTTTCAGATAAATAATAAATAGTTTCTGATTTCATAATATTGAAATATTACAATAATATTACAAATTTATACACTATATATATAATTATCAAATTAATTGAATGCACGAATATATGTATAAATATATAATATATACTAAAATATCAGTTTCTTCAATTTATTTTTAAAATTCAATCAACTTATAGAATTCAATTCATTATTAGAGTTATTAATGCTCCCAATAACAACAAAGTTATAAAGACAAATATATTTATAATAATGAGAGTCAAATACAAATATTTTAGAATGTAAAAGAAAATAATATGAATAAAAATAATTCGTTCGAGTTTTAAGTTTTTTTCGATAAAGATATCATAGTTTCAAATGGAAATATAATTCAAAATTTAATGAGTATATCAAATTATACTTTCATTTTGATTTGAAAATACTATCAAATATTTTATATTATCAAAATAAAGAAATTATTTGAATATCATACTAACATAATATCTACTGAGAGAATATTTTTAAAAATAACATGGATAAAAAAAAGAACAAATTAATAAAAAAAATTATAAACAAATTATTTTTTTAATAATTATATTAGTAATAATTATAATAATAAATAAATAATTATAATATTTTAACAAATATGAATTATAAAGTACAACTAAAACATTATATCATTAGGTCATCTTTTATATATGTTAACTTAATAATTTTTTATTTCTTAATCGATTTATATATGTAATATCTTTATTAATAGGATTAATAATATTTTTATATTAATAATAAGATTTAAATATATTTTATGCAAATTTTATTTTATTTAAATATTTATATAAGATATTATATTTATATATGTTAAAGTACTTATGAAATGTTTATATAATCAACAAGAATTCAATACACTTTGCCTTCATGAGTACTTATAAGGAAGTCAAACATTATATGATATGGATTTAGAACACGTTTGTATGTATCGATTATATTTAATATATCGATACTATATATTATATACTAGTTTTATCTCATCATTAGTCATGGATTTATAGTATGAAATCAAAAAAGATATATTTATTGAGGAAAAGATTCATTTTATAAAGAATTAATATTAATATTAGAATTTTAAAAATTTTTTCATGTGATCATTTGAGTTAAGTTTTATTAATTGTTTTTAGTTATATATTGAATATGCTAGAATAAAAAGTGATTACGTTTATAAATGTTGAAATATAAAAATTAAAAAAAATAAAAAAAGAACTATGAAAGTGGCTATGTAAGGATTTTAATATTTCAATCATTAGTAATATTTTTTTAAATTGATATTTTTATAAGCATAACAATATAATAACTTTAACAATAATGGAATTTAAATTATAATTTGTTTAGAAAATTAACAATTCTGTGATTATAAAAATATCGATATAATATAAAGTTATATAGATTGAAGATTCAATCAAGATATTAATATATAAATAATATATATATACATTAGATTTTTTTCCTAGATATGAAAATTTGAAACAAAATATATAATGAATTAAATAATTTAAATAAATATATTTATTTAAACAGATCTAAATTCAAATGAAATGTTTATCTATTCTCTATTTATTAATATACTTATTAATGATAATTTTAATTAAAAAATAAAAAATTACAAAATTCTAAAAGAATTTGAATTTTTTATTTTCAAATTTTATGTATTTTATATTAATCATTTTTTAATTATAATAAATATAATTTATATAAATATTTTTATTAATCATAATTAAAAATAAATTAATAAATTATAAATTGATATAGATATAATAAATTTATTCAAAGAATCAATTTTATTTTTTAATTGATATAATTATACACTTTTTTCAATTATAAAAAAATATCTCAAATCATTAATTGTTGGTGAATTAATTTTTAATTTAAATAGTAATAAATAATCTATTCAATGATTTGTTTAATATATTTTCAAATATATTTATAATTTGAAATTAAAATATTTCAACATAACATTTTGAAATATAAAAACTAACCAATATTATATTTTATATATTTTATTGATATCCAAGCACTTGAACATGTATACTATAAAAGTCGTTAATCTGTTCTCAGTTACATTGCATTATGAAATCGCTTAAAGGATTGTATAACGTATACGCGGCTTAAATTACACACTATTCAATCGGTTTTGTAATAGCGAAGTATGTGAATGATATTATGCTAGAGCATAATTATTATATTATGTTGCTATTTATTATTTATTATAAAATGAAATATTCGATTAAATCTTATTACAATGCGTGTATAATCCAATATCACATAACATTTATACCGTTAATCATCAAATTGATTAAAAATCAAAAATTGATGAAAAATCATTCATAACTGTATTCTAATATTTTATAAATATAGTATATAATATATTAGTATATATTTAATTCATTATTTATTTGCTACTTATATAAAATTATTGGAAATGTTATAAGCGTCAAGTACATACATAGAGTTTTAAGTAATTGATTTTGGAAACCAAAACAAACATAAAAATTAATATATGAAATTTCTTGGAACAAAATGTTAAGACTTAAATATAATAGAGACTCCCGTATCCGAACTAATCTAATAAGGAGACAAAAGTGGTCGAATAGTGGAATTTTATAATAATAGAACAATTACTTTCTCTTGCATTAAATTTCATTTATTCAAATAAAAATGAACAAGATTGACAGTTTCTTTCAATATCTAAGAGTCCCATATCTTTTTAGCTGCTAAGTCAAATAAATTTTTTATTGTAAGCAGCTGCGAAGCATAGAATTACATTCCTATTATGCCTCAAACTATCGAACCATTCACCATATATTCTTGCTAATTTGGTTGCACTTTCACCACTTTCAAGATCTTTAATTATTTTGTAATCGGCCGTGTTAGCTCCAACCGTTCGTGCAGCTACGGAATATAGTAATAAATAATTATTACGAAGTTCGCTGTTGACAAGTTCATTAAACAATCAAAGGCAAAGTTCATATGCCAATGACAGTCCACACTAGAATTCAAAGCTCAAAGAATTCTGCGGATTCTTGATAATTCTTATTCTTGTAATTCTGTGATGATTTCTGTGTATTTCTTAAGTAGTTCTTAAATAGTTTTGAATGGTTCTGTGATAGTTCTTATGTAGTTCTCAAATAGTTTTTGTTCTTAATTCTGCAGTAGTTCTGTTGTTTCTATGATTCTCGAAGTAGTTTTGCTCTTCTTGAAGTTCTCGCCAGTTTTTAAGGATTCTCCCCAAGTCTGGTATCCTCTGAAGCCCCCTCCATGTTCAACTCATGAGCTTGCGGGTCTTCAATGAGGTACACAAATGTCCAATAAAGCTATGGACCAATCCCGTAATTAAGTGGCATCCTGATCCAAGGAAAGCTCCCTAGAATGAGTTCAAAGGGTTATGCTGCTCATAAGTCTTTTGTTCTCCCAGAAAGCTGTTTACAGTAATTCTCTTTAAGCAGGATGATGCTGACTGCCGTTGAGACTAGAAATGTCTCAAGTCCCAAGACCACATTGATACTTCAGACATGCCGAATTGTTTCTAAATGTGCAAAACAAATGGTTATAGAAATTTTCTCTTGGAATTGTCTGTCATGGTATTATTCTTGCAGCATCATCCTAAGCCATCTGTGCATATCTCGACACCATTTGTTCAGTGTTTGAACAGGTTGAACACAAGAAAGTATTTATTACATCTAAATACGTTATATTTACGTTGTAATCTAATTATGTTGTATGTAAACATCACTATTGTGCGGTACGGGAGTCTCTATTTTAATATTTTATAAAAATATATATTATATATAATATTAAAAATTATATATTAAATAATAAGCAATTTGTGTTTATGTCAAGTAAAATGAAATAGATAAAATGAGGAATGGCAGGAATTAAATCTTGCTTCATTTAATCGCAAATTGTTAGTAAATAAATTAATATTTTTATATATTAATTTGTGTTTCATTTGCTTTTAACAATTTATTCAGTTTGTTATGTTTGTTAATGTTCGATTTTTTATAAGTTAAATTAAGTGTCCTACATATGTACAATAAAAAATAAACATTATTTACTTGTTATATTTATAATGTATTATAATTTATTTATATTATTATATATATGTAAACATTTACTGGTCTTTTACAAACTTTAGGAACTGATTAGAAACATTAATATATATATTCTCCAAATAATGTATAAATGTTGATTTAATAACATTGATTTCTTTATAGTATCTTTTTATATATGGTATTAATAAAAATTTCCTAAAACTTTTGTTTTAGAAGAAAAACTATATGGA